ACAAATGTGCTTTACACAATTGATGTGTGTATGGATTGTGATAAAAGTTGTATGAGCCCCTAATAAAATGATTAAAAAGACAAAAAAAAAACACTAGCCAGTGAGAAGCCCAGCAGAATTTTGTCTACCAGAGGGTTGTAAGGGGACTCCCTAGATTTGGGGGCACTCAAAATACACAGAAACCACATCCGTGGACTTCAGTGTACCAGCCACGATGGAGATGATGCAGGACAGGGTGATGCTTGGCTCTGGTACGCGGGGTAACCATGAGTAGAAGCCGGCTGGATGGCAACTAGCAATCGCCTTCTTCGACAGTGACACTTGAAATGGAGGAGCCTGTGCATTTCATATCCACGAGAATTTCCTACTGACTACCTGCTGCTGACGGGGGGCGGGGGGTGGGGGTGGTGGTGGTGCTCACAGTGACACTCCCATGAGGAGCCCAGGGGTGGTGCGGAGAGCAGGTCCAGGCTGCAGGCGCTCATCTTGCCCATCCATATTATTGTTGTTGTTACTATTAGGTGCCATTGAGTCAGTTCTGACTGATACCAACCCCGTGTACCACCCAACGCAACACTGCCGGGTCCTGTGCCATCCTCACAGTTGTTCTATGTTTGAGCCCATGGTCGCAGCCACTGGATCGATCCTGCTTGTAGATGGCTTCCCCTCTGTTGCTACCCTGCTCCTGGACCAAGCACGATGTCCTTCTCCGGGAACTGGTCTCTCCTGACACCAGGCCCAAAGTACATGAGATGAAGTCCCCCCCTCTTGCCTCGAAAGAGCATGCTGACTGTGCCTTCCTCACGGCCGGCAAGTCGATTCTGACTCACAATGACCCTCAAGGACAGGGCATAATTGCCCCCATGGATTTCTGAGACGGCAGCTCTTTATGGGAGTAGAATGCCCTGTCTTTCTCCTGTGGAGTGTCTGGTGGTTTCGAACGGCTGACTTTCAGATGGCAGTCTAACATATAACCACTATGACACCAGGGCTCCCTGCCCATCTGTGGCAGTTACATCATCTCATGTCACTTGTGAAGGGCTGGAGTCTAGCCTGTCAATCAGGCCGCAGCTTGGTGACCTCATTCGGAGTCACCATGGCGATAAATAGTTTCCTGGAAGCCAGATACACCCATACTCTCTGCTTCGTCTTCCTGCTGACAAGACACATGGACCTATGCTAGATCTCTGAAGCCAGAAGAGCCACGCGGAAACCCCTCCAGTGCTGAGATGCTCACACCACCACTGAGTCCGCAAGACTTTCCACCCACTGATCTGTGATCTTCCTGCATTCAACGTCATTGCATGTGTTTCATGAGTCTGAAGAGGACTTTATAGACTGGTATCGGGCATATGGGTCAATATTGGACTTATGAACTTGATCTGGACTGGGCTGGGATGTTTTCTCAATATACAATTGCTCTTTTATAAAAAGCTCTTTCTTATACACGAGTGTCTATGAATTTGTTCCTCTGGTCTACCCGGACTACCACACCATCCATGTAGTGACAAGGAATTGAACTGTTCAGACGGCAATGTGGACCATCATTCACTGGCCTCCAAACTGCACAGTGGCTCTGCTTCCACTCATGTTCCTTTTCCTTCTTGGGCGTAAGGAGCACATTCCCTTGGACTTCCAGAGCTGGAGGGAGGCAATGGAACCCTGGTGACAGACTCACTAAGCACTTGGTTGCTAACTACGGGCTGCTGATTCAGTCCCCCTGACTTTTCTGCGGAAGAAAGACGTGGTAGTCTGCTTCCATAAAGGCAGCAGACTTGGAAACGTTAAGGGGATAGTTTTGCTCAGTCCTATAGGGTCATTGAGAGTAAAATAATCTGGACAGCAATGAATAGCCTTATTTTAAAATGTGTCCTCTTTTAAGAATTAACTTTTCAACAGCCTGCTCCTCTAAAAGAACTCATTGCCATCCAGTTGATTCTAAGTCACAGCCACCCTGTAGGACAGGGTAGAACTGGTCCTGGGGATTTCTGAGACTAACTCTTTATGGAAGTAGAAAGCCTCATCTTTCTCCTGAAGAGAGGCCGATGGTTCCAATCTTGTAGTAAGCAGCCTAGCTGCTAGTATGTATGAATGACATATTTAGAATAAGCCATATATATTTTTAAAAATTTCACATCTGTGCCATCATTTACTGCGTGTGCTTTTCTGTCTTATTTCTTGTGGCATAATGTTTCCAAGGAGCATCCATGCCACGTGTGATACATACGTTTTGCAGTGTGTCCAGAAGGTTTTCTTACTGGGGTGGGAGAGTGGTGAAGGATGTCCCCCTAAACATGGAAATAGCTTCATTGAGAAGTTTTTTTTCAGAGCATCATTTTTCAAGGTTGTGAGATGTTTACCTGTGTAGGGAAAGTTAGGACTGCAAATCCCTTGGTGTTTAATGTGTCTGCTGTCTGGGTCTGTTCCGCCTGGTTATGATTTTCTTTCTCTCTCACAGAGATAGACTTCTGTGCCTCGCCCAGCCACGGATGTCAGCACGAGTGTGTGAACACAGGTGCTTCCTACACCTGCCACTGCCTGAAAGGGTTCACCCTGAATCCCGATAAGAAAACCTGCAGAAGTAAGTCCCAGGCTGTTGGAGACAGACTTGTCCTTCTAAATAGCCCCACAGAGTCATTTTCCTTTCCTTGCCAATCTCCCGCTCTGGTGGCACAGTGGTTATGCATTGGGCTACTGACCGCAAGGTCCGCAGTTTGAAACCACCAGCTGCTTCTCGGGAGAAAGACACCAAGTCCGGACTCAAAGGGAAGCCGACCCCCTCAACCCTCCATCCCCTGTTATCAGAAATGAGGACTCCCCTTCCCCTCACACTGTGTATCGGGATTGGCCGGGAAGAGGTGGAGCCCAGAGATGGTTAGAAAAAGGAGCCGGATTCTTCTAGTCCTTGAAAGCAAGACACTGGATGGCCGCCAAGAGGGCAAAAAATGAACAAGGCAAAGACGTTAAGCCCCCGAGACACCCCGGCAGCATTGTGGGGATGGGAGCTGGTATTATCACTGTGTGCTTATCACGTGGCCCATCAGGGTCCGAGGCAGGGCTCCAGAGCATGGACTTCAGAGCAGCCTATTCCTGAGAGGCCACTGGGACACAAGCTTTGTCCAAACGGAGAGTTGTGCCTTCCTCACCACGATGCCCTCACCACCTGCTCGGTCATCTCAGAGGGATTGATTGCCACCCAACGTTTGTTGGATGAGTGAATGAGTCTCTTTGAGATTTATCATCTTGGAAAAATGATAGCTTTTATTTGAACAACTCGATTTTGTTGGAAAGATGGCCTTTTTAAAACCTGCAAGTTATGAACTTTTCCAAAACGATTCCCAGAGTTGACACCTACCCAGTGAATGGTTTGAGTTCTGGCGATGCCATGCACCGAGTCCTCTGGCGCCTGGGGACGATGCAGAGTGGATCCGATGGTTGGGCTGCTCCCACCCCCAGCCACTCTGGGGGAGAAAGAGGAGGCCATCTGCCCCCATAGAGATAATCCAGTTCTCCCCTGGCTTCTGGGGCCACTGTGAGTGGGAATCCCCCCCGCCCGCAGTGGCTCCGGTTATTTTCGGAGTTTCTGTGGAGACATGCATTTTCTTCTAGGCCGCTTCCCTGACTCGCCCTGACAATGTGCATCGCCAGACTGAGTTTTCACTGGCTGAAGGGGACATCTCTTTGGAATGACCTGGTGGGCTGTAGGACCAAACCTGGATAAGTCAGGTCTGCAGTGACACGGAATAGCGCCTGAGCTCATTCTAATCCATGGCAAAGCTTTCTGGTGGCAGAAACAGCCATGCTGATCTCTCTCTATATTTTAATCTCACTGCTTAGCCCAGATACAAACCTGGAAACAGCCCAGCATTCAATGGGAATTTGAAGGGAGAGTTTTCAGACGGGGAAACAACGACTATAGATGGAATGTTTTTTCCATTGGACCACACAGGCGTACACCCGTACGACTCTCCCAGCCCGGCCTGTCCAGTCTGTGCTGTCCACACCTTTTGCTGGGGGTGAGCAGGTTAGCCGCTGATGGCACCCAGGGGAAGCATCTCCTGGTTCAAATCATTGGTGGACCGAAAGCTCTTCCGTGAGAGAGCATTAGCTCTGGTTCAAGCAGACACGCCCTGTGGGTGCATGCTTCCTGTTGCATTACTAGCCGGGAGAGAGAGAAGGAACCTGGTTAGGCAGGTGGCCATCGGCGAGGAGGAGAGCTTAACGGCACTGAGCCCTGCGCCTCTTGCCAACTGGTGCCCTCACGGAGACCTCTCTCCACTCCCTGCCCGGAGAGGCGCTTGGAGTAAGAGACAGATGCAAGGCAGCCAACTCGACATTGTCCCAGGAGGAGGGAGACTGAGGACAGGAGGCAGAATGGTGAGGATGTGACCCTCTGGGAGCAGGGTGACTGTCCATCACAGGCCAGCAGATGGGCTTCTCTGCAGACTGGCACAGCCCAGGGTCCCTCACGCTGGGTCATATTGATTCACTGCGCTTAGCTCCATTTCCTCTTCAGCCAGGTGCCCTGATTTTCCACCCCAGAAATACAGAATTTCCCCCCACAGCACGGTGTCCTCATCAGCCCTTCTCCCGTCGCCTGCTTCACCATGACTTTTTCCACTGTCTTTGCTGCGAGCCCAGCCCTCTAGCTCCTGAGGTCAGGCTGCTTTCTGGGCCGGGCGGAGGGAGGCAGCCAGCTGTGGATGGCGTGGGCGCTCCCATCTGTTGCGCTCAGGAGCATTCATGGAAGAGGGGAGCCGAGGCGCTGAATTGGAAGTCTGGCGTTTCTGATTAGACGTCAAGGACTCCCGAGTGATCCAAACATTGTAAACCCAGAGCTCAGGCCATGGCCACGTCCAGTTAATGGGAGGTTGATGGACGAGGGCAATTTTCAGATGTAATAAGAAATCTATTTTTTTCCAAAGGAGCTCGATGTTATTCAGTTAAGCTGGGGGAAGAAAAAAAGCTCAAGGCAGACTCTTCTGGAAGAACAAACTCTTGGCTGGGATTTGTCTTCCTCCTCCTCCTCCAGGCACTTTTCCTGATACCCAGGGGTGCTGTCATCAACTTAAAACATAAATTACGAAGGTGTCCAAGCCCAGAGACTGGGTCTAGCCCAGCTGCCTCGGTGGAGCTCCAGGGCTGAGTCCACTATGGTGCGACTCCGTGTGCTGAGCTCTGGGATGCTCACTCCGGTACTACGGGCTGGTGAGCGCTCTTTGGAGGTGTGGACATGGGTATAGCAGGTGTAGACCAGGCTGGACTGAGCTGAGAGATCTTAGGTCCTGTCTTGGCAGTGCCACCCAGCGCAGCCATGTGACCTTGGACCGGCCACTCTACTCCTCCAGACTTGGATATCCTAAATGGCAAGACTAGGACGCCCTGCTGGGACATTCTGTGTGCCTGCCCAGGTGTTCTGAATCTCCCCGTCTGTACCTGGAGCCATGAATCTTTCATTTATTTAATGTCTTGCCTTCCCAGTAAGGAAGCCTGGAGGCATAGTAGTAAAGCGCTCAGCTGCTGAGCGAAAGCCAGGTGGGTAACCCCACCGGGGGTTCCCCTGTGAGAAAAGACCAGGCCATGAGCCCCTGGGAAGATAACAGCCTAGGAATCTTAGGGGACCGTTCTGCTCGACCCTGTAGGGTCTCAACAACAACAAGAGGCTTCACAGTTGGGTCTCTTTTCCGGGGGTGGGAGTGGGGTTCTTCATAGAGAGTGCAACATGGAGTTGGCGCCCATAAAGTCTATTTAATTTACTGCTTGATTGTTCCGCTGTTTGTCCTGGGAGGCTTGACGGGGCACGCTGGGATTTGCCAGATAGAGCTGCACCCAAGCCTGGCCCATGTGCACCCCTTGCAGTTTGTGAGGAGCCGACCCAGATCTGGGGTGCCTCATAGACCCTCACTGAAGAACTAGGTCACACACGTACTTGGACACATGAGCAAATATGACTCAAGTAGGTAAAGAAAGCCAAGGGCTACAGCGAAGCCTCTGCTGTAGGAGACCCTCCAGAAACGGATCATTTCAAATCACTTTTCGCTGGATAGCGGGGATAATAATCTTATTAAGAATCTAAATGCTTTTCCTTTGAATTATTTGGGGTGTCAAGTTTTCTTTCTCTCCTTTCCTTCCGTCCTCCCTTCTCTCTCTCTCTCTCTCTCTCTCTCTCTCTCTCGCTCTCGCTCTCGCTCTCTTTCTCTCTCTGATTAAGAGGGTTGATTGGGGCAGTTAGTAACGTACCACCAGTCAGGATCGGTAAACAATAAGAAGACAGTCATCGATCCACAGCAACACTGTCCTGAGCCAGCAGCCAAGTCTTTCTCTCTGGTCCTCAGCCTCTCCACTATGTGGTCCCTTAACTTCTGCCTCTGTGAGCCAGGAAGCCAGCCCACCTGTCCCTCTGTCTCACCGTTCCATCGTGGCAGACCAGATGAGGAGAAGGGGCCCCATGGTCTCAGCCCTGCTCCTCTGAGTCTCTGTGCCATGTCTCTGGTGCCTCTGGTCTCGGCATCCTCTGCCACTTCACTTAGACATCTTCGGTGTGCTCTCCCAGTGGGATTTCTCTCTGTGTCCCGAGTCTACAAACTCACTGCCATCGAGTCAACCCTGCAGGTCAGGGTGGAACTGCCCTGGTGACTTTCCGAGATGGTCACTCGTTTTACAGGAGTACAAAGTCTCGTCTTTCTCCTTAGGAGCTGGCTGGTGGTTTTGTACTGCTGACCTTGTGGTTAGCAGCCCAACTCCCGGATAGGTGTAAATCTTTCTTACAGTGTGTGCTGAAGACCACTGCACCTTTTCCTCCTGGTCCAGGATCGCCCTTGTCAGCCTCCATTAGCAATGAGTGATGAGTGACTCCTGCAGGCCCGACACCAAGGGGACCCAGACAGTTGGGTCCTTTGTGTTCCATGTCCACTGGCTTGTGTGTTTGTATGTGGTCTGTTTCTCGTTATCAAAGATCCCCTTCACTTGTGCCCAAGCACGCCGTGTGCTTGGCCCCAGGAGAGGTTCTTGCTGAGTGCCTTCAGGAAGTTAGAGCGAAACTGCGCACAGCTAACATGATTCCTTCTCTCCCCAAGAGGAAATGATGAACTACAGCCCAAGCAGCCAAGGTTTATAACAGCATGGTGATATCGCCGCTGTGCGGTGCCGTGGACATGTCTCTGCTGTGGCACTATGCTACTCTGGGCATGCAGGAAGTTCTGTCCACCAGCCACCGGGGGAGAGGCACGTGGCCATGCTTTAAAGGATGGGTCTGGGGTCCCTGCCTCCAGCTTGCCATCACCTCCTCCAGGAAGACCCTCTCTCAGCTCCTTGTTGGACCATCTCTGTGTCTTATGACTGTCTGTTCCCTTGACTGCCTCCCCATGGGAGCAGGCGCCCCTGGAAGGGAAGGGCAGGAGACTCGGCTGACTTCACCCTCCCATCCCCCTGGCACGCACACTGATCTCAGCCTGGCTCTTGGCTGGCTACTGAATGAAGGGATGACCCCTTCAGGACTCCTGTGGGGTGCTGTCTCCCTGGGTGCCTCCAAGGGGTGCTGGGAGAGACCCAGAACCTGACCTTACAGCCCCTGGAGAAGCTCCTAGATGGAAGGAGGGTCTCCTGTTCTCTCCTTAGGGATCAACTACTGCGCGCTGCACAAGCCCAACTGTGAGCATGAGTGTGTCAACACAGAGGAGAGCTACTACTGCCGCTGCCGCCGGGGCTTCAGCCTGGACCCCAACGGCAAGACCTGCAGCCGTGAGTGTGCCCTGGGGCAGGCCTGCTGGGGAGGCGAATCCGGAGGGAGACTCCTGTGTTTCATAGGGGCCCCATGGTCCCATAGATCTAACTTCTCCTGCCCCCCC